TATATAGACAGACACACAGAGGCTATTTAACATTCCAGCTTTCATGAGGGTATTCTGGCCACCAGGGGAGCTGTCGCTTCACCGTCCATTTGTGACACTGATGAAGTACTTCCTCATTGTTTGCATGCTTGCTGGAGATTTTTATGGCATAGTAAATTAGCCTCCCCGTGTAAGCGGTACCTAAATTTCCTACTTGACAGGTGCAACTGTCTTTCGGGTTGCAAAGGTCGACAGCACGCTACACAAAATTGGTCGGAAGCTCACTCTGACTCACTCCGACTGTGTCAGCTGGAACCACAGACACAGACTGACACTCAGAGGATATTTAACATTCCAGCTTTTTCATGAAGGATTCTGGCCACCAGGGGAGCTGTTGCTTCACCGTCCATTGACACTGATGAAGTACTTCCTCATTCTTTTACATGCTTGCTGGAGATTTTTATGGCCTCGTAAATTAGTTAAATTAGCCTCCCTGCATAAACGGTATCTAAATTTCCTACTTGAGAGATGCAACTGTCTTTCGGGCTGCAAAGGTCGACAGCAAGCTACACAAATTGCGGAAGCTCACTCTGACATGGGCTGGCTTTGAACTCATGACACACAACATAGCTGCAGCATCACATGGTTGGCTCATGTTTAACTCTCCACGAGGACTCATATCTTTTTCATACATCCTGCTCCTGAGCGTCATTGCATTGCATTTGCATTGCATTTGCATTGTATTTGCATTGCATTTGAACTTCATTTTATTAGTTTTGGCCAATCACCTCTCTAATTGTTTTGAATTCTGCTCCTGCAAAGCAATTGAAGTGTGAGCAATCAGTTGTCAAACGCTTCCACCGCCAGAATCACTGGGGTGTAGTTGTGTGGTTTCCGGGCTGTATGGCCGTGTTCTAGCAGCATTTTCTCCTGACGTTTCGCCTGCATATAGGGTGTAGTTGTGTGGTTTCTGGGCTGTATGGCTGTTTTCTAGCAGCATTTTCTCCTGACGTTTCGCCTGCATATAAGGTGTAGTTGTGTGGTTTCTGGGCTGTATGGCTGTTTTCTAGCAGCATTTTCTCCTGACGTTTCGCCTGCATGTAGGGTGTAGTTGTGTGGTTTCCGGGCTGTATGGCCGTGTTCTAGCAGCATTTTATCCTGACATTTCGCCTGCATATAGGGTGTAGTTGTGTGGTTTGGGCTGTATGGCTGTTTTCTAGCAGCATTTTCTCCTGACGTTTCGCCTGCATATAGGGTGTAGTTGTGTGGTTTCCGGGCTGTATGGCCGTGTTCTAGCAGCATTTTCTCCTGAAATTTCATCTGCATATAGGGTGTAGTTGTGTGGTTTCTAGCAGCATTTTCTCCTGACATTTCATCTATATATAGGGTGTAGTTGTGTGGTTTTATGGGCTCCATGGCTGTGTTCTAGCAGCATTTTCTCCTGATGTTTCGCCTGCATATAGGCTGTAGTTGTGTGGTTTCCGGGCTGTATGGCCGTGTTCTAGCAGCATTTTCTCCTGACGTTTCGCCTGCATATAGGGTGTAGTTGTGTGGTTTCTGGGCTGTATGGCTGTTTTCTAGCAGCATTTTCTCCTGACGTTTCGCCTGCATATAGGCTGTAGTTGTGTGGTTTCCAGGCTGTATGGCCGTGTTCTAGCAGCATTTTCTCCTGAAATTTCATCTGCATATAGGGTGTAGTTGTGTGGTTTCTAGCAGCATTTTCTCCTGACATTTCATCTATATATAGGGTGTAGTTGTGTGGTTTTATGGGCTCCATGGCTGTGTTCTAGCAGCATTTTCTCCTGATGTTTCGCCTGCATATAGGCTGTAGTTGTGTGGTTTCCGGGCTGTATGGCCGTTTTCTAGCATCATTTTCTCCTGACATTTTGCTTGCATATGGGATGTAGTTGTGTGGTTTCCAGGCTGTATGGCCGTGTTCTAGCAGCATTTTCTCCTGAAATTTCATCTGCATATAGGGTGTAGTTGTGTGGTTTCTAGCAGCATTTTCTCCTGACATTTCATCTATATATAGGGTGTAGTTGTGTGGTTTTATGGGCTCCATGGCTGTGTTCTAGCAGCATTTTCTCCTGACGTTTCGCCTGCATATAGGCTGTAGTTGTGTGGTTTCCGGGCTGTATGGCCGTTTTCTAGCATCATTTTCTCCTGACATTTTGCTTGCATATGGGATGTAGTTGTGTGGTTTCCAGGCTGTATGGCTGTGTTCTAGCAGCATTTTATCCTGATGTTTCACCTGCATATAGGGTGTAATTGTGTGGTTTCTAGCAGCATTTTCTCCTGACATTTCATCTATATATAGGGTGTAGTTGTGTGGTTTTACGGGCTCCATGGCTGTGTTCTAGCAGCATTTTCTCCTGATGTTTCGCCTGCATATAGGCTGTAGTTGTGTGGTTTCCGGGCTGTATGGCCGTTTTCTAGCATCATTTTCTCCTGACATTTTGCTTGCATATGGGATGTAGTTGTGTGGTTTCCAGGCTGTATGGCTGTTTTCTAGCAGCATTTTCTCCTGACGTTTCGCCTGCATATAGGCTGTAGTTGTGTGGTTTCCAGGCTGTATGGCCGTGTTCTAGCAGCATTTTCTCCTGAAATTTCATCTGCATATAGGGTGTAGTTGTGTGGTTTCTAGCAGCATTTTCTCCTGACATTTCATCTATATATAGGGTGTAGTTGTGTGGTTTTATGGGCTCCATGGCTGTGTTCTAGCAGCATTTTCTCCTGATGTTTCGCCTGCATATAGGCTGTAGTTGTGTGGTTTCCGGGCTGTATGGCCGTTTTCTAGCATCATTTTCTCCTGACATTTTGCTTGCATATGGGATGTAGTTGTGTGGTTTCCAGGCTGTATGGCCGTGTTCTAGCAGCATTTTCTCCTGAAATTTCATCTGCATATAGGGTGTAGTTGTGTGGTTTCTAGCAGCATTTTCTCCTGACATTTCATCTATATATAGGGTGTAGTTGTGTGGTTTTATGGGCTCCATGGCTGTGTTCTAGCAGCATTTTCTCCTGACGTTTCGCCTGCATATAGGCTGTAGTTGTGTGGTTTCCGGGCTGTATGGCCGTTTTCTAGCATCATTTTCTCCTGACATTTTGCTTGCATATGGGATGTAGTTGTGTGGTTTCCAGGCTGTATGGCTGTGTTCTAGCAGCATTTTATCCTGATGTTTCACCTGCATATAGGGTGTAATTGTGTGGTTTCTAGCAGCATTTTCTCCTGACATTTCATCTATATATAGGGTGTAGTTGTGTGGTTTTACGGGCTCCATGGCTGTGTTCTAGCAGCATTTTCTCCTGATGTTTCGCCTGCATATAGGCTGTAGTTGTGTGGTTTCCGGGCTGTATGGCCGTTTTCTAGCATCATTTTCTCCTGACATTTTGCTTGCATATGGGATGTAGTTGTGTGGTTTCCAGGCTGTATGGCCGTGTTCTAGCAGCATTTTCTCCTGAAATTTCATCTGCATATAGGTGTAGTTGTGTGGTTTCCGGGCTGTATGGCCGTGTTCTAGCAGCATTTTCTCCTGACGTTTCGCCTGCATATAGGGTGTAGTTGTGTGGTTTCTGGGCTGTATGGCTGTTTTCTAGCAGCATTTTCTCCTGACGTTTCGCCTGCATATAGGTGTAGTTGTGTGGTTTCCGGGCTGTATGGCCGTGTTCTAGCAGCATTTTCTCCTGAAATTTCATCTGCATATAGGGTGTAGTTGTGTGGTTTCTAGCAGCATTTTCTCCTGACATTTCATCTATATATAGGGTGTAGTTGTGTGGTTTTACGGGCTCCATGGCTGTGTTCTAGCAGCATTTTCTCCTGATGTTTCGCCTGCATATAGGCTGTAGTTGTGTGGTTTCCGGGCTGTATGGCCGTTTTCTAGCATCATTTTCTCCTGACATTTTGCTTGCATATGGGATGTAGTTGTGTGGTTTCCAGGCTGTATGGCTGTTTTCTAGCAGCATTTTCTCCTGACGTTTCGCCTGCATATAGGCTGTAGTTGTGTGGTTTCCAGGCTGTATGGCCGTGTTCTAGCAGCATTTTCTCCTGAAATTTCATCTGCATATAGGGTGTAGTTGTGTGGTTTCTAGCAGCATTTTCTCCTGACATTTCATCTATATATAGGGTGTAGTTGTGTGGTTTTATGGGCTCCATGGCTGTGTTCTAGCAGCATTTTCTCCTGATGTTTCGCCTGCATATAGGCTGTAGTTGTGTGGTTTCCGGGCTGTATGGCCGTTTTCTAGCATCATTTTCTCCTGACATTTTGCTTGCATATGGGATGTAGTTGTGTGGTTTCCAGGCTGTATGGCCGTGTTCTAGCAGCATTTTCTCCTGAAATTTCATCTGCATATAGGGTGTAGTTGTGTGGTTTCTAGCAGCATTTTCTCCTGACATTTCATCTATATATAGGGTGTAGTTGTGTGGTTTTACGGGCTCCATGGCTGTGTTCTAGCAGCATTTTCTCCTGATGTTTCGCCTGCATATAGGCTGTAGTTGTGTGGTTTCCGGGCTGTATGGCCGTTTTCTAGCATCATTTTCTCCTGACATTTTGCTTGCATATGGGATGTAGTTGTGTGGTTTCCAGGCTGTATGGCTGTGTTCTAGCAGCATTTTATCCTGATGTTTCACCTGCATATAGGGTGTAATTGTGTGGTTTCTAGCAGCATTTTCTCCTGACATTTCATCTATATATAGGGTGTAGTTGTGTGGTTTTACGGGCTCCATGGCTGTGTTCTAGCAGCATTTTCTCCTGATGTTTCGCCTGCATATAGGCTGTAGTTGTGTGGTTTCCGGGCTGTATGGCCGTTTTCTAGCATCATTTTCTCCTGACATTTTGCTTGCATATGGGATGTAGTTGTGTGGTTTCCAGGCTGTATGGCTGTTTTCTAGCAGCATTTTCTCCTGACGTTTCGCCTGCATATAGGCTGTAGTTGTGTGGTTTCCAGGCTGTATGGCCGTGTTCTAGCAGCATTTTCTCCTGAAATTTCATCTGCATATAGGGTGTAGTTGTGTGGTTTCTAGCAGCATTTTCTCCTGACATTTCATCTATATATAGGGTGTAGTTGTGTGGTTTTATGGGCTCCATGGCTGTGTTCTAGCAGCATTTTCTCCTGACGTTTCGCCTGCATATAGGCTGTAGTTGTGTGGTTTCCGGGCTGTATGGCCGTTTTCTAGCATCATTTTCTCCTGACATTTTGCTTGCATATGGGATGTAGTTGTGTGGTTTCCAGGCTGTATGGCCGTGTTCTAGCAGCATTTTCTCCTGAAATTTCATCTGCATATAGGGTGTAGTTGTGTGGTTTCTAGCAGCATTTTCTCCTGACATTTCATCTATATATAGGGTGTAGTTGTGTGGTTTTATGGGCTCCATGGCTGTGTTCTAGCAGCATTTTCTCCTGACGTTTCGCCTGCATATAGGCTGTAGTTGTGTGGTTTCCGGGCTGTATGGCCGTTTTCTAGCATCATTTTCTCCTGACATTTTGCTTGCATATGGGATGTAGTTGTGTGGTTTCCAGGCTGTATGGCTGTGTTCTAGCAGCATTTTATCCTGATGTTTCACCTGCATATAGGGTGTAATTGTGTGGTTTCTAGCAGCATTTTCTCCTGACATTTCATCTATATATAGGGTGTAGTTGTGTGGTTTTACGGGCTCCATGGCTGTGTTCTAGCAGCATTTTCTCCTGATGTTTCGCCTGCATATAGGCTGTAGTTGTGTGGTTTCCGGGCTGTATGGCCGTTTTCTAGCATCATTTTCTCCTGACATTTTGCTTGCATATGGGATGTAGTTGTGTGGTTTCCAGGCTGTATGGCCGTGTTCTAGCAGCATTTTCTCCTGACATTTCGCCTGTAGGAGAAAATGCTGCTAGAGCACAGCCATACGGCCCAAAAACCACACCACTACCCCCTATATGCAATGTGTTGGAGTGTTCCTCCTGGCAGAGAGGACCTGGGTTGTGCGACCTTTGTCCTGACCCTTGTCCCTCTCCTTCTCAGGCCGCAAGTTCATCATCGCCAACGCCCGGGTGGAGAACTGCGCCATCATCTACTGCAACGATGGCTTCTGCGACCTGTGCGGCTACACGAGGGCCGAGGTCATGCAGAAGCCCTGCACCTGCGACTTCCTCTACGGCCCTTGCACCCAGCGCACCGCCGCCGCCCAGATCGCCCAGGCCCTCATGGGCTCCGAGGAGCGCAAGGTGGAGATCTCCTTCTACCGCAAGGATGGTAAGTCCAGGGGACCCCCACCCCCCCCAAGAGTGACCCCCATTTGGAAGGTCCCTCCGAGGAACAGACGGGTTTGCTCCGGGGATGTTTGTTTACCTTTGGGAAGAGCTTGGTTTCAATATCTCTATGGAACACGGTTCGTGTTCCCGGGCTATAAATGTCATTTCCGAATTGCTCTTGTCATAAAAACATGGGAAAAGCTTATTAAACCGCGCAAACTTTGTTTTTGCAAGAGGGACATCTTGCCATAGCGGCACGTCTTGCCATAGTTTTCAGTATCTCATTGTGTTCCAACCAGTTCAGCATCGTTTGTGCCACAAAAACAAAGTTTCTGGAAGTTTCAGCCCATTTTTTTGGGCTGTATGGCCATGTTCTAGAAGCATTCTCTCCTGACGTTTCACCTGCATCTGTGGCAAGCTTCCTCAGAGGTTGTGAGGTTTGTTGGAAACTAGGAAAATTGGGTTTATATATCTGTGGAATAATGTCCAGGGTGGGAGAAAGAACTCTTGTCTGTTTGAGGCAGGTGTGAATGTTTCAATTGGCCACCTTGATTAGCATTTGATGGCCTGACAGTTTTTAGGTGTGGCTTGTTACTGCCTGGGAACTTGTTGAGAGGTGATTAGTTGTTCCTGATTGTTTCTTGTCTGGACTTCCCGGGAGAAAGAACTCTTGTCTGTTGGAGCTAGGTGGGAATGTTTCAATTGGTAACCTTGATTAGCATTTGATGGCCTGGCAGTTTTTAAGTGTGGCTTGTTAGTGCCTGGGGGAATCCTTTGTCGAGAGGTGATTAGCTGTCCCTGATTGTTTCTTGTCTGGACTTCCTGGGAGAAAGAACTCTTGTCTGTTGGAGCTAGGTGGGAATGTTTCAATTGGTAAGCTTGATTAGCATTTGATGGCCTGGCAGTTCTTAGGTGTGGCTTGTTAGTGCCTGGGGGAATCCTTTGTTGAGAGGTGATTAGTTGTTCCTGATTGTTTCTTGTCTGGACTTCCTGGGAGAAAGAACTCTTGTCTGTTGGAGCTAGTGGGAATGTTTCAATTGGTAACCTTGATTAGCATTTGATGGCCTGGCAGTTTTTAAGTGTGGCTTGTTAGTGCCTGGGGGAATCCTTTGTTGAGAGGTGATTAGTTGTTCCTGATTGTTTCTTGTCTGGACTTCCCGGGAGAAAGAACTCTTGTCTGTTGGAGCTAGGTGGAAATGTTTCAATTGGTAACCTTGATTAGCATTTGATGGCCTGGCAGTTTTTTGGTGTGGTTTGTTAGTGCCTGGGGGAATCTTTTGTTGAGAGGTGATTAGCTGTCCCTGGGTTTCCATAGATGTGGAATAATGTCCAGAGTGGGAGAAAGAACTCTTGTCTGTTGGAGAGAGGTGGGAATGTTCCAATGGGCCACCTTGATGAGCATTTGATGGCCTGGTAGTTGTTTGGTGTGGCTTCTGAGTGCCTGGGGGAATCCTTGGTTGAGCAGGGATTAGCTGTCCCTGACTGTTTCTTGTCTGGGGTTCCCCTGTGTTTGAGTTTTGTTCTTTATTTGCTATTATAAATTTTAGAGTGTTTTCTTTTTAATATGGTCGAAGGAATCTGCAGGGCCTTTCATGTTCCTTGATTCAACTCCTTCCAAAGCTTTACAGCACAGTGCGTAACAACAACGCTTTCCAAACAGGAATGGAAACATTTTCCAAATCTTGTTGTTCCATGGTGTATATTTGGAAGGATGCTCCATGGAGGGGAAGGGAGCAGCCTTCTTTTCTGCTGCTCTGGAGACTAGGATGCAATGGAGCCATGCATTCAGACTCCAGGAAAAGAGATTCCACCTCAACCTTAGGAAGAACTGGATTGTAGGGTTTTTTTCGGGATATATGGCCATGTTCTAGAGGCATTCTCTCCTGACGTTTCGCCCACATCTATGGCAAGCATCCTCAGAGGTAGTGAGGTCTATTGGAACTAGGAAAATGGGTTTATATATCTGTGGAATGACCAGGGTGGAACAAAGAACTCTTGTCTGTTGGAGCTAGGTGTGAGTGTTAGGTTTTTTCGGGCTATATGACCATGTTCTAGAGGCATTTTCTCCTGACGTTTCGCCCACATCTATGGCAAGCATCCTCAGAGGTAGTGAGGTCTGTTGGAAATAGGAAAATGGGTTTATTGACCAGGGTGGGACAAAGGACTCTTGTCTGTTGGAGGAAGGTGTGAATGGGTTGTTGCAGGTTTTTTCGGGCTGTATGGCCATGTTCTAGAGGCATTCTCTCCTGACGTTTCGCCCACATCTATGGCAAGCATCCTCAGAGGTTGTGAGGTCTGTTGGAACTAGGAAAATGGGTTTATATATCTGTGGAATGACCAGGGTGGGACAAAGGACTCTTGTCTGTTGGAGGAAGGTGTGAATGGGTTGTTGCAGGTTTTTTCGGGCTGTATGGCCATGTTCTAGAGGCATTCTCTCCTGACGTTTCGCCCACATCTATGGCAAGCATCCTCAGAGGTTGTGAGGTCTGTTGGAACTAGGAAAATGGGTTTATATATCTGTGGAATGACCAGGATTGGAAGTCTGGAAGCTGTTGTTGTTGTTGTTGTTGTTGTTGTTGTTGTTACCGTGCTGTTTGTCCCCCCCCCCCCCGGCCTTCCTATCAATGGCTCTGGGGATGTCGTCAAGCCTTCTTGTTGTTGTTGTTGTTTGCCTTCAAGTCATTTCCACCCCCTGGTGACCCTCAGAGCGACCCTTTTGCCGTGGTTTCGTGGCAAGGTTTGTTCCAAAGAGGCTTTTGGCGCAGTGGTGCAAAACGTCCATGAGGTCAGCGTTAAAATGGAATCCGACTCGCAGCAATATTGAGTAAACAATCCCAACCACACCATTAAAACGAAGGCTAAAAGTGTTTGCGGAGCAGAGGGAAACAACACAACTGAAAGCAACGCCGCGGTCTTCCGTTAAAAGCATTCGGTTCCGGAAAGTCTGCCCGGAATAAAGATATTTCTGAAATGGGAAGGGCGCCAGAGAGGGATCTGGTCCGTTCTCTTGCAGCAGGGAGTTCCACAGGCTAGGAGCCGCCACCCAAAAGGCCCCGAGTGATGCTCTTGCCCTCTTTTCCTTTCTGGTGGTGTTTTTTTTTTTTTGGTGGGGGAGGGAAATTTGGACACCTGTAAAACCACTTACTTACTTAGGTGATCCCTCGTTGTCCAAATATGTTGGTCTTCCCAGTGTAGTTGGTCTTCCTACTGTAGAGCCTATTCTTGGCCCACATCTGCTCCTGCAGTGAGGATATCGGTTTCCAGACGGAAGGTGGTCCCAACAAGGGTTGGCTGGATGCGCCTTCCTCTTGGCATATTTCGCCCTTTCGCCCTCTATTCGTGCCTCTTCAAATTCCACAGCACTGCTGGTCACAGCTGACCTCCAGCTGTAAAACCACATCTCAGTGGCAAATCCTTCATTGATAATAATAATAATACTTTATTTGTATACCACCTTCTTTTCGCCCTCCATTCGTGCCTCTTTGAATTCCACAGCACTGCTGGTCACAGCTGACCTCCAGCTGTAAAACCACATCTCAGTGGCAAATCCTTCATRGATGATAATAATAATAATAATAATAATAATAATAATAATAATAATAATAATAATTTATTTGTATACCGCCTTCTTTTCTCCTTCCATTCGTGCCTCTTCAAATTCCACAGCACTGCTGGTCACAGCTGACCTCCAGCTGTAAAACCACATCTCAGTGGCAAATCCTTCATTGATAATAATAATAATACTTTATTTGTATACCACCTTCTTTTCCCCCTCCATTCATGCCTCTTCAAATTCCACAGCACTGCTGGTCTCAGCTGACCTCCAGCTGTAAAACCACATCTCAGTGACAAATCCTTCATCAATAATAATAATAATAATAATAATAATAATAATAATAATTGTCGAAGGCTTTCATGGCCTTCTCCTTGCCTCTAGACCATGGCCATATAGCCCGAAAAAACCTACAACAACCCAATAATAATAATAATAATACTTTATTTGTATACTGCCTTCTTTACACCCTCCATTCATGCCTCTTCAAATTCCACAGCACTGCTGGTCACAGCTGACCTCCAGCTGTAAAACCACATCTCAGTGGCAAATCCTTCATCGATAATAATAATAATAATAATATAACTTTATTTATATACCGCCCTATCCAGAGCAGTTTCCATGTATGCAAAATAATACAAAAACATACAATATAAAACAAAAACATAGGCATAAACTGTTAAGAAAACATATACACTAAAATCAATTTAAAACCATCAATGAGGTTGCCATGGGTCTGAGAATAGTCCCATTGAATCCCTTGACTCTATGCTTAGCAACATCTGACTTGGTAAATCTCTTCAATTGGGAAAAATCACCAGAGTCTGGATGGCCATCTGTCAGGAGGGCTTGGACGATGTCTTCGTGCCTGGCAGAAGAGGGTTGGACTGGATAGCCCTTTGGAGTCCCTTCTGATTCTAGGATTTGGCACATTTTCATATCTGGCCTCTTGTGAATGTGCTCCCTATTCTGCACTTGGAGTTATTTTGGAAGCAGGTACATTCACGTCTAATGGTATTTAAAAAGTAATGAGGGGAAAGGGCAAAAAGAAAAGGTGTTTGAACAAAAGCGCTTTCTCGTGGGCTCATTAATCATGTGGCTCAAACGGTGGGGATGGGAGCGCTCTCTCCTTTTAAGAAAATCTTTATTCTAATGGGGCCGTTGACACCGCAATGTGGACATCAATACGGCCTTGTTAATGGCTTAATGCCCTTGCGCTCAAGGTGAGCGCTAATGCATTGAGCCCCCTTGAATCCTATGGTGTGACTGAAGTGGGGCAGGTACAGAAAGGGTGGGGGGAACCTTTGTCACTTGGGATTGGTTGGGGAGAGTCCGCTGTCTATGCAGCAACCCCCCCCCCCCAAATAATAATACCCCCCCCTCTCTCTCTCTGGATGCAGCAACCCCCCCCCCCCAAATAATAATACCCCCCACCTCTTTTTCAGACC